TAGCATACATACAACTATAATGGGCATTGCAATTCTATATTATTAGAGCAATGCACTATTAAATTGTGGAGTCCATATATTCTCCTATTGAATAAAAGCAATGTACACAATTTTTTTCATACATATTGGGCTTTTTCCGGCCTCCATTGAGTTTATTGTACGAATTTAAGCTGGAAGAAAATATTTCCAGTCTGAACCTGCTTAGCCTCACTTGTCTATTATTTCGGGTGGGATAGATGTGGAAGTCGAAATTTCCCTCCTTTCTATGGAATTCAATAAGGGTTTGATGTATATAGATGAAAGGAAGTGACATTATTCAATTCTTGATTAATAATGGCCTTCAAAGATGGTGGTAACGCGTACTCTCGATTATTCTCAATGCCCTCTTTTGCAACTTCCGCAACTTCTTGACGCAATATGTGTGATTGATGAGTTGTCTACTTTATGGTAATTCATGATCACTTAAATGAATAAACACTTTTGTCTAAATACCACTAGTAGATTTTATTTATACGACCGGTTTCGTGTTTGACCCCGTTATCAAGTATCAAACTGAAATCTGAAAATTGAAATATCGTTCAAAAGTGTCATCAGCAAATGCAATACACATGTCCGGAAGCAAGTAATGGAATATATCATTGACATAAATGGTGAACAATAGTGGCCCAAAGACGAATCCCTGTAGCACCCTATGATCAGTATGTTGCCCGATACCACTTGTTGACGGTTGGTCCATTAGGACTTCACAAGGTTCAGTGGGATTCCCTTTACTTCATAGTAGTCGGGCTTCTCAGCAGTAGCTCATAGAGACAGTGTCAAACACCTTAGATAAGTCACAGAGTGTGAGATCTGCTAACTCCAAAGTCTCAAGGCCCTCAGCTTTCCCTCACGTGACTCTGCTTGCTGCCTGGACTGTGGAGCAGTTTGTCCGAAATCCATATTGACAACAGTGAATTATGCTGTATTCTCCATAGAAACAGTATAACTGATTTTCTAGAAAGATCTCATTAATTATTCCCAGAATTTGTATTATAAAGACGGGTCTGTATAATACAGGAAGATATCATTTTCACCATGTTTCAAGATAGGAACTACTTTGGATATTTTAAAGACATCCGGAAATACACCATCAGTGAAACAATAGATATATGCAACTTCCTTCCCTGGACATTTACGTTAAGGAAGTTGTGTTAATGGCCATGGTACGATTGCGCACAGCTGGTGTAAACCTCGAAGTAGAAATTTGTCAATTCAGGATAGGCCTATGGCGGGAAGCGCTTACTACGCAACCCCTGCTGCAGGCAACCAGTGATGAAATTGAACCCAGGTTTGTGTTTAATAAACCCTACAAAATACAAATAAAACAGATCACAGAGTCAGATGCTACGACGCATATATACAGACGGCTCAAAAACCAAAGAAGGCTCAAGATGTGGAGTGTACTCCAGATCACTAAGCCTAATAATAAGGTAGGGAATCGAAAAAATACCAGCGTGGTCCAAACAGAACTGGCTGGTATCTCAATCGCCACAAAAGAAATAACCAAGAAAGGAATGTCTGGCAAAAAGATAAAAATCTACACTGATAGCAGACAAGCACTATTAGCTTTGAACAGACAACGTATAATCTCAGGGATAGTACTAGAGTGTCACTCTTATGTAACCAAAGCCTCGGTAGATAATGACATTATCCTGAGGTGGGTTGAAGGGAACGACAGTAGTAAAGGTATTCGCATTGCCGACTCTTAAGCCAAGGAAGCGGCTGGACTGAGAATTTTAGGACCCAGTGGCACCTACAGCCTGATGACTTCGACAATTGCAGAGCTACCCCCAACCCCTCCCCCCTACTCTACAGATATAGAACTTCCTTCCAAGCTCGCTGTCTATTAGCATGTACTGTATTCCTAGGGTAGTACACTTCATTTGGGGGTGTAATTGAAGTGCTTGTTTTTCGAGGCAGGTACTCCTGCAGCGTCAGGTAATCAAGGTCATCTTGTGTGTTCTTACTGATTGCAAAGCTTCAAAAATCTTTTTCGAACCATTTTCTTGCTGTTGGGTATATTACAGCGGAAGCAAATCCAAACTCTCACTAGAGAAAATCTTTCAGAGTGTGATGAAGTTACCAAAACTATTGACAGTTCCATACAAATGAATATATACCCATGTCATTTGAATTGAGAGGGGTATTATTTAGGGTCATCTACAGGATTGCCACACGATATAGTATATAAAAGACATACAGTTCCACTCACATGGAACACTGTCATCCTCACTGGTGGAAATCGATGTCCCGGATTCAGTTGACAAGTCCCGGCGGTTGTTACTCCAGAGACAAATAAGGACAAAACTCAACTGATCAAGCATTTAGCGATCACACGGGTTATTAGTTCTCACCCGCTTGACCCCATCAAAATGACGTCAGATGCCAAACATATGTTATTTCGCACTCTCACCTCATCAGTCTCCGTTGTGTGAAGAATATTATCTACCTCTCTACCATCCTGCTGTTGTTGAACATCGAAACACACTCCTCATCTGATATCAGCTATAAACAGCCAACAGCCGTACCGAACTTAACGCATACATCACGCCGAATGATTCTATCGCGAAATTTCAACGGTACAAAAACTCATTGTCTCTGGACCCTTGCTATAAAGCTGGAACAGGGTAATTAGATTGTGAATCCTTAATCCCACAATTTTGTAGTGTTATTATGGTGCGTGTAAATAGTCAACGTAATTCAAGACCGCTCCTTCCATCAGACAATATAATTGGGTTGTTTGGCGAGAACCTAATTCATTTCATTGGCCTACGATTTTATTCAAATGCCCTGGGGCTTCTGAATGCAGAATTCTTGTGAAATATTGATTTTGTTGCGATGTTTTCTATTGAACTTTCACGAAATTGATCAATGTTCACAGTAAGCTGGTGAGTTCCATGAAGAAAAGTAGTGAATTTACTTTATTATGTTCAGGATTCCTGCGATATTGTCGATTATTGTTGTGGAAGTGGTTGAAAAGAGACCTATTTACATTGACCCGCTGATAAATTCTGCTATACTAAAGTATACAAGAAAGTATAACAGGAAGTAGTAGGGCTATGCAGATTCTAGGCCACCTGAAAGTGGCGTATATGATTTTTGCAGATGCGCTGGAAAAAAAATTCGGTCACTCAATATCTGATTCTCACTAAGATTAACCTCAGTATATTGTTGATATTGCTGAATATTTCAGCAGTGCCTTCATTTCAAAAGCATTAAGACAACCTTCTACGTTTTCAGAAAACAACAAATTCATTTTAGAATTTACTTTATCTGAAATTGAATCAGTCTTACGTAGATTTACGGATAAAATGATTATTGGTTATGACCTCAGTCCTTGTTTCTTAGTGAGGAATCGTTTCAGAATATTTTTTAGACCATCGACCCTAATTTTCGAAGTGAGACTTCTGATTCAACCTCATCAGCATGGTTTTTATAAGTAACAACTCAACTGCATCTTGTTAAATTATCATCATACAAATCATCTCTGATATAGGTCCTTGTTATATTAGGTGATCATTTCTATAAGTCTATTTTAATTTAAATGAAATGAATAAAAACACTTTTGTCTAAATATCATTGAAAAATGTTATTTTACGATTTTATTTTAGGTTTGATCCCATTATCAAGTATAAAACTGAAATCTGAATTTGGAACATCGATTTTATAGAATTTTCAGGTATGCTATGTATTTGAGAGAGGAGAGGAGACCTACATAAATCAAGTTGCTCGTTTAGGGGTATCTGCCCCAGTTGTCGTGCCGTGAATACTATCAATATCAAGGAGTTCTTCATACACTTCATAGCTTTTATCTACTCCGCGAATAAAAATCAACATCTGAGGAGTATCCGACACATTTGTTGACTCATCCAATGCTAGAAAAAACCACTCATGATGTCTACTTTTGTCAGACAGTTGAGATGACATATTTTCTGCGATGTCTTGCACCCTCCGAGCCACGGTGTTTGCTGACAAACTGACACTTTCAAATAAATTTACCTTTTCGGGGCATATTTCTTCGGCTACTGCAATCAAGCATTTTTTTATCATTTCTCCATCGGTGAATGGTTTGCCACGTTTTCCGATTTCAAGAGCCACACGAAAGCTGGCGCGAGTTGCAGACTCTTGTTCAGTATTCGCTTTGGTAAACAAAGATTGCTGCGATTTGAGTCCGCGTTTCAAAGCTTCAAATTTTTCCTTCCGCAAAGTCCTTCAGTTTCATTATCAGGCAATAAGCCATGCGTTTTGAATTATATTTTCTCAGTACTCTCCATATTTCTTATTGATTGACCTATATCCTGATCTGGGCTTCCTCAATATCGATTTTGGTACCTCTCAGCATTTCGTTGCTTGTGATTCATGACTCTCTAGGTCTCCAATACAGAGTCAATCTATTTCCGTCTAGCAGTTTTTCAGTTCTTCACAGTTCTTTCAGACCAATCTCGATGTCAGCTTCGAGTAGAGGAATTTTTAAAGGCAGCTAGAAAATCTTGTTTTTGGCGAAGTCGCCATCGACTTTTGGTGAGGCCGCTTTTGAATTTTTGGCGGAGTCGCGGTATTCGATGTTTTGGCGAAGTTTCAGAATTGTTGTCGAAGTGTTTGGTGTTTTGGCGAAAGATGTCACTGTTGTCAAAAACCATGGTTATGAATATGTCTTTAGGAAAAGGGAGAATGAATGTCTTCCCTTGAAACGACATCCTCCGAAAATCTGAATACTGAATACGAAAAAATAAAAGAGTGAAAATGAAAACATGCACTTTTCCCAACTGCAATACTCTTTGGAAGCGCGTTTCGGCAACCAAGTTGGCGTCGTCAGAAGACGAAGAAAACTTTCACCATTCTTTCGGTCGTGAAAATTACCTTGATAGGGATAAAAATGATCACTAGCTCGAAAAAAAACAAATCGACGTTTTAATCCTCAACTAATTTTTGGTTCTTGATATTTCCTCTCTTGTTTTCAGTTGCCCCAGTGATCAAAGTTCCAAATCAACTTCTGGGAGCCCCAGTTAGTACAGATGTTCGATTGGAATGTTTCGTGGAAGCCTACCCCAACACAATCAACTACTGGATAAAAAATAGAGGAGAAATGCTGCTAAATGGGTGAGTATCTATTACCTCAGATACATCAAACATGTCGAATCATAATCTGAAGTCAGGAGAGTACTTATTTTTTGGTAGATATTTGCCATATAAACGTTGCTAGAAGTAAATTGTTCGAATCTCAATTCAAAACTTTTATTTTTCTAGTACCTATGGTTCTATTCCCGCCACATTCATCAGACTGTAACTTCTGCTAGTAGATAATTTTTTTTGATAGACTACGATATTTTTCTCCGCTGATGTATAGCAATTCAAATATTTCATTTGATTCAATGATGTTCCACAGTGTTATTTTTTTCAATTCATTTTCCCAATTTATCTACCGAATTTCGGTGAATATTTTTTGTTGTTTTGTTCGATAATTTTGAGAACATTTTTGGGAATCAATGTTTTCGAATTCAGATCAGATATTATTTTGAATACGGTCAACAGGTCAATGATAATAACAGTAATAAATGCTTTCATTGGAAGGTTATTCAGTAGAGATACTAATCTAACCTAACAAATGGCAGAATTCAATATATTCCCATGATAAATCAAGGCAGATATTTCTCTTCCATCCAACCAGCAACAGCTTACTCGTAATAATACGAAATATTTTGCAGAAAAAAGAAAAAAGGAAAGGAAGAAAAGAAAGAAATAATAGCGAAACACAAATAGATGAAAATTTGATCTCTCACATTGAAAAGTCATGTCATAAACATAAAGGAAATTTGATATAATAATATAACGATAATTTAAATATTGGTATCAATATTGGTATCAATATAGGTATCAACTGATCAATATTATAAAAGAAGAGAACCAGATTGAAACATATATCTTTCCAGGTTTTCCTTGAAACTAAAGAGTTGTGGTGATTTCAATTCAAGAAGGGAATGTTTTGTGTTTAGGTGGGGTCGAAAGATGTTTAGATTATGTATATCGGTTCTGAAAAACAATTTCATGAAAAGATAAGCTGGTTTTTCAGTAGAATTTACCTCATAGAATATATATAAAGAAATGAACTTCAAAAGTTCAAGCCAATCTCGGATATACCTACACAGTAGTTTGAATGGGCTGACGCCTATCAGAAAACAACTACTCCAATGGCTAACACCACAAACGGCGTTGGATTATATCCGACAGACGTCAGTGCAGGAATCTTCACAGAATATTTCCGGCATATGCAATTGGCAATACAACTGAAAAAGTCGACCTTCAATTTTGGAACGGGCACACTTTCCCTGGTTTCGGGCTCTTTAGCAACTCGTCAGTGCAAGATAGTGACCACCATCGACCTCAAGTCAGTGATATTCCATAATCGAAAATCGAAATTCTTTCAGAGTATTTCATTCCTCGTCCCAAGTTGGAACGAACATCAAAAATGTAACTTCATCTAGTGGACGAGGTACTAACCAACTGCATATCCGAAATTTGCCCGATTCCTCTGAATAAGGAAGAAACACTTTCTTATTAGTCAGTTGATCAAGTATTGAGATACATGCTTCAGTCTCCTTACGCCTGTGACGAGTCTGAGGCAAGAGTCCTGCACTTTTGAAGTCTCTGTCTGTCAGATTTCATGAGTCCTGGACCATAGATAGTATCTGCTCAATTGGCATAAGATGATACCAGGGCGTCGCAGAGTAAAATTTCATGTTTGTTTTCGTTCAAAAGACTTTCACTTATGAATTGTATTCGGTGAGACAATATCAATGACTTTCTTGCCCGAGTGATTCACAAATCCGTTCCATACTTCGGTGGTAACAGTAGTACTATGATCACTAATACACAGAGACGTTCAATAGTAATTTTTGTCGAAGCTTCTGAAAATAATATTCAACATCGATTATTTGTAGCGAAAATCAGGAAAAACATATTAGTTCTGAACTATTCCATCAAATCCAACGCTCTGTATATGAAAATAATTAATTGTCATATCCAAAGTGAAGTCTAGTTTTCTCGACCTTCTTATTTGGACCTAATTTCACCGTACTATAATTAAATTCACGCAAACATGGGTCAGTTATGTTCCGCATGAGTAATATCCGTTATCAACATCTACAATTTGAATACAAGCTGTTGATAAGATCATTCGATTGGTAATCAAATGTGAACCTGAACAAACCATGTATAGATTTTCTTCACCTGAATAATCATAGTTCTAGTTCTGTTACGCTATTCAGTATAAGATTATGTTAGTGTTTTATTAGGTAGATGGCAAAATCAGTCCCTCGTTGAACAATTTTTGTTACAAATTTAGTGTGACTTTTGCGTTCAGGTATCTTCCTTTTGTTTTTTGGGATCGTTGACATATTTCATACCTATTTCGTTGCTCAATCTCATCAACAATCCAATTGGCAGTTATTTTTTCCATTTCTGTTATCTTTTTTGTACTCATGCCAACTACTTGTGTCGATGCGAAACTGTTGGTATTTTTGTACACATTCGTATTGATTTATGAACAACTATTCATAATTCAAATATATTTTTCAAGAAATTGACATGAAATTTCAATAAACAGAATTATCAAAAAATTCTTGACCCACTATATATTGATGTGAATAATCAGCTGCTTCCATTGTCAAAAAGTACTAAGTTTTTGGGTGTTGAAATTGACAAAAATCTCAATTTTAAAGTACATTGTGATGGCCTTATACCAAAATTGCATTCTTTAGCATTCAAGCTACGAAATCTTAGCTATATTCTCAGTCTAGATCAACTAAAAATTATATACTATGCTGAAGTGGAGTCGAGATTGCGCTATGGTGTACGTTTCTGGGGTTGGTCAACCAACGCAGGTAAAGTTTTTTTGGCTCAAAAAAACATCATCAGAAGTATCACTGGTATAAGTTACATGGAGTCCTGTGAACCTTTTTTCAAGAAATTACAAATACTGACTTTACCCTGCTTGTACATAATGGAAATTTGTGTCTACGTTTTTCAAAATAGAAGTCAATTTCCTTTAATAGGCTCTACTCATACAATTAACACTAGGCCAAAAAAAATATATCAAGTTCCTCTAGCTCGAGGGCGGATTGCTCTTAAAGGTCCTAATGTTGCAGGTCCTCGTTTGTTCAATATTTTACCAACTGAAATAAAAGAAAGCAAAACATTAGAGATG